TGTTGAAATTTTATATTTGATTTTCTGGTTTTTGGGAAATTTTGTATTTGTTTTTTTGGGCCTGAACCGCGGCATAAACCGAACTAGCCGAAATATTGCAACAACAACTGGTCAGCGGTTACTGTACTGTGTAAATTCTCGACCAAGGTAGAGACACTTGTTGGCTGTGTTTCTTCATATACTCCATCTAACTCGTCACATTATTGCTCGCCTCGGTTTCTGGTTCATAATCGTAATAATATCCCAGTCGCCATCGAAGTCATCATCGTTAAAGTCTTGGTAATTGGTCGTTGTGGCTTCCGGTAGGACATCATCATAATAATAAGCCCAATCAACGGAGTCATATTTGGGAGGGTCGTTTATAGGCAACTCCGGATGGCTGGAAGGGGTTGGAGTACTGTCCTGAAAGGCAGCTATTCGGCTCTGATGTGGCGGCGGTGGTAAGGCTCGCTGTCCTGCTTGAGGGCCACTTGAATATTGTGTATAGCTATCAGGAGCAGGGAGCGCGTACCTGGGCACTAACGTTCGGTCGTGTTCACGGTTGTTCCGTCGTGGACAACTGTTTTGATAATGGCCAGGCAAACCACATACATAACAATAGGGTCGGCCATCTCTTGATCGCTCCCTAGTGTTACAAGTCTCTCGCTGACGTTGTGCGAGACCAGTGATGCGTGCGTCCATCCGTTTTTCCAAACTGTTCATTTGATCTCCCATACGCTTCACAAGTTCCGTTCATTCGTCAATCTTACTCTGGCAACCCAGTTGGGGCTCTGAATAAGCGGTAACTTTATCCGTCTTGGCAACTGTAGATGTAAGTTCACTTAGCTTCTGTGTTAATGTTTCTATTTGTGCTTGAAGTGACTGTTGTGGTGAAGTATTAAGTGAAGCGTTAGGACCTGTTGCTTGTGCGGGTACGTGTTGACTGCGGGTAATTGCTTCAATTAGGCGTTCAATTTGGCTGCTTTCTTTGGTGCTAGTTTCTTGCTGCGATATTGAGTCTACTGTTCTAGCCAATTCTTCTGCTTGCATGAGTGTTTCCGGCATTCGCTCTAGGACTTTGGTCTTTAAAGGTTGCAATAATCCTTATGTGAAATATGTCACTTTGTCCACTTCGGCCATATTAAGTCCGCTAAAAAGTTCATGCATATCATTGATATAATCTGATAGTAATTCATTTGGGCCTTGACGGCGAGCAACTAAACGACGTCGTTTAACCCATGCGCGGTCTTTGGTAGAGTAACGTTTCACCAGGGCTTGTTTTAAAGTGTCATAGTCTCCACGCTCGTCTGGTGGCAATTCAAACATAAACGTTTCCACTGGTCCAGCAAGATTGTTAATAAGCTGTGTTATTGCAGCAGGGACATCCATCCTGATTCCTTTAGAGTCCAGAATTAGTTCCAATTTCTCAAACCATCGATTTATGTCCTCATTTTCATATCCATGGAATTTGTTTATGTTTACGTCTTTATTTAGGAGCTTTTGAGTTAGTTCAGTTAGTGCACGAATGTATTCTCCTTCCATACTGGTTGAACTTGAATCGTCGGTAGGATCAGAGTCTGAGGACGGTTCACTATGTTTAGCGGCGGTAACTCCTAATCCGCCTTCACTACGTGAGAAAAGTTTATAAATATCAGCAGGTGAATCGATAGTCGGTAACTGTTGTCCACCAGCAGTATAATTGATAACAATTGGTGTAGTATTTATCACCTCTGGTTGTTCTATAAATGTAGGATCAAGCGGTGCGTCGTGGAGGGTAATGTACTACCAGGAGGTGATATATTACCAGTAACAGGTGACGTACTCGAGGGTACCTGTTGACTACCTGTTGCAAAAATGTTATCCGCACAGTTCTCTTTTTCCTTTTCTTTTTCTTTTTCCCTCTCGTTTTCTGAATACAGTTCTTCCTCAGGTTCTACTGACGAGAGCTCTGAGGCGCCGTGGGTCCAAAGCACTAAGACTGTCGTCGCTATCGGAATCTACACTAATATCCACGGGTTCCAAGGTGATCTTGTTACTGACCCTACAGAGTTTTTGCGAGAAGGTTGCAACAGTTCCGAACTAGTTCCTTCTTTAGCAACTGGTCCACGCCTCAATTCTGGGGCTATTTTTTATTCGACGAAAGGCAAATCCCACTCGACGCAGGCGTCTACTTTCGACTTCGCAGTACAACTTTGGTTCTTACTCCGGCTCCTTAGGTTGAAAGGTTCTTTTCTCTTTGTGAAAAATTCCGGCATTAAGTTAAACACATCCTGTTCTGTGAAGTTTCTTTGCTTCTGGTATTCCTTGCATAATTGCCACTCTTCTCGACCAGTGTGAAAACACGCTTTTTCACTTTAACGCCAGTGTGGAAACAGGTTTTGCCTTCACGAAAGGGTAAATCGACGGACGGGGAAAATTTCTAAAACTCTGTGGGAAAGGCCTTTTGCTGGGGACACTCGCTGGCTGTGGGAAGGCACGGAATCTCTTACACCTGCTGAATACCCTTGAGACAATGATCACAACAGAACTTAGCTCCAATGTAGATGTTTAATGAGGGGGTTAAAGGGGTTGTTGTGTGATACGTGATTAAGTGTTTTAACTTTCGTGAAAGGTGAAAATACGAAATTAAAACCCGTGAACTGGTACTGGTTTACTTGTCGTGATACTTGAACTTTAAAATATTTTACCCGATATTCGTGATTTTCAACTAATTTTTTCGTGAGGTAGTCTCAACTGAAGATAAATTCTACAGGGAAGCCAGTGGACCTTCAAATGAACTTTTCTAAAAGGTCTTTAAAAATTCAAAGGCCGGTTATTTAAACGAATTTTCGCCAGTGGTTGACAAAACCGTGTTCTAAGCCATTTTCAATTTTTTCAACGCTTTTATCTTAACACCGGTTATGGTGAACGTTTCATGGCAGCAGCAGGGTAGACTAGGGTCGTATACGTCCCCATATGGTACCATGTATACAATTTTCCCCTGACCCATTTAGCTTTCAGTTGATGTTAATAAATTGGTCAAGCAACAACGTCAGCAAAGATAGATCTTTCCAGCGATACCTCGTTTTGGGATATTCTGACTNATTAAAACCCGTGAACTGGTACTGGTTTACTTGTCGTGATACTTGAACTTTAAAATATTTTACCCGATATTCGTGATTTTCAACTAATTTTTTCGTGAGGTAGTCTCAACTGAAGATAAATTCTACAGGGAAGCCAGTGGACCTTCAAATGAACTTTTCTAAAAGGTCTTTAAAAATTCAAAGGCCGGTTATTTAAACGAATTTTCGCCAGTGGTTGACAAAACCGTGTTCTAAGCCATTTTCAATTTTTTCAACGCTTTTATCTTAACACCGGTTATGGTGAACGTTTCATGGCAGCAGCAGGGTAGACTAGGGTCGTATACGTCCCCATATGGTACCATGTATACAATTTTCCCCTGACCCATTTAGCTTTCAGTTGATGTTAATAAATTGGTCAAGCAACAACGTCAGCAAAGATAGATCTTTCCAGCGATACCTCGTTTTGGGATATTCTGACTAACCCTTACAGAGTTACACTCACAACAAATGGTAAAATTTTGGGGAAAATTCCACTGCCAATTTCGCTGTTTACACACTACTCCTTGAAAATTAAATTTGTCCCTTTCCTAAAAAGTTAGCCAGCCACAATTCCATGCAAATGAAAGACGATAAAGTGGGCAAAAAAGACGCCAATAAAGAACGAAAAAAAGAGAGCGAGAGAGAAAGATCGAAATAGATTCGCCAAAAAAAGTCCAAATTTTGGCTTTTGCGGATGTGTAAAAAACAAAAAAGCTGTTTAATTAGTTGGAAAGTGTGTCTTTTTTCTCGAAAAACTCTTTTTTTGCCATAGTTATGCTAATTAGCTGCGAGAGCAGACAACATTTTTGGCTCTTGTTTCACCCGCCGAGAAAAGAGCGCCTGTGATCTCGAACTGGGAAACGATTTCCGTGAGCTGCTGAGTCAGTTTTTTTTTTCAAGCAATCATAATTAAACTCTTATTTTCTTGGAGCTAACACATCTGGGGTTTGAGTAGCGATCTTGGTTGCAATGGCCGGCACTTGTTAAATTAGAGGGACTAGTTTTTAAATTGGAATGAGTAATGTTTACCATGTCATTAGAAGGAGTATGTTTACCTGACTTCCGTCACTTCTCTGTTTTAGTTGTGCGGGAGGCACAAAAAGCGGAAGACACCAGCATCCTGAACAGGTCGAGCCATGCACTGACTGTCCTTTTACTTAGGAAATTTCCGTGAAACGTGAACACGGAATTTTAATCCCCATGATGCGTTATTTCTAATTTTAATTTTCGTGATTCGTGCTTAGGACCCCCCCACCCCCTCCTTTACCCCCTCTTTAATCCAAGACTATACCGCGGGTACAGTCAAAACATAACCAATCAAAATGTAACCAAGACTAGATGCAACGAAGATGTAACCTGGACGTAACCAGGACGTAACCAGGACGCTCCTACAAAGCACTCGTATCAGCATAAGCTAGCGAAGCGATACAGATTACATCACAACTCAACGAGTCTAATTACAAAGCAAACAATCATTTCTACAAGACTATTGGTGGAAACCTAAGCTTGCTTTGAAACATTAATTACTTCCAAAAGCTACACAGGTGGATAACGGCTTTTTATATTACAGGTTGATTACGGCTTGAAGACTAAATACAATTATGACTTGACAAATAAGTTTACGCTCAATAAATCAACAGGTTGTTTACGGCTAAAAGAAGTTAAGACTAAGGGATAATTGATTTCTACATTGGCTTTTCATATTTTTATCAGCGAAAGCAAAATGCCTGAATACAATAAATCCTCTTTTCACAATTAATTCCAGTACTTTCTCGATTCATTAAGCAACAAAACTTTATGCTTTTTTTGCTGTTTTTATTAAAAAGGATTCAAATTTCAAATACCATCACTGAAAAACTGGTAGAAGCAGTAATATAAGATGTGACGAACCATTTAAATAGATCCACAGGTTTCAGTGAGTTGCCTTTGACATTTCCAGTTCCCCTTTAACAGGCACAAGTAATTATCAACCTGTAAATATGGCTTTTTAAAAAAAAGACGAGATGAAAACAGTTCAGACAGTTGAAGTTATTTTTGCAAATACTAAGGGCAATTTTCAAGGAATTCTGAAAAATGTTAGCGTAAACCTGGTTTTCCTTAACATAGAGGATCATTTGGAAAGTCATAGGTAAAAGTCTCTCATTTTTTATATATATTTTTACCGATTTTAAATTACAACTTTAATGACAGTCCTATCCGGAGTCAACAGCAGAACATTACAGAAAGTGTTCCTTTTTTAAAAAGAAATTGAAGAAGCTTTAATTACATGCGCCTGTTAATTTTGTTAACTTGTCCGGTGATAGTAACTCTTTGGAAATGTCATAATGAGGTCAACTTAACATGTTGGCCTATTCAAATGGTTTGTCACACCTGGTAACCGCCTGTTCTAAAAAGAGCCAATCAGCGGGAGGCACGAATTCCTAATAATCAATATAATCAATTTACAAGGATGAATTTCTCCATGACTAGATGAACGTCAAGACAAAAGGATCAGATCTCGAAGTTCTGGAGAAGTGCTAATAAGGTTGGTATGAGGCATTCGTTGGACGAATCAGTGCCTTTGTTTGGTTTGTGCTTCAAGCCAGAGTTGAGATCACTTTTACCTTCATTGCCCTTGAAATCAGTGATTTTATGTTCTTAGTAGCCAATTCCGAAATGTGAGGGGTAGGCTGTACGCGGTAAATGTAAATGTAGTGCATGTCTATTCTAGGTATCGCTTTTTTTCTTTGTGAAGGTTGTCTCTTTCTTCTTTTGATATAAGATATAATTACAATCTTTAAAGATATAAAGTACAGTTTTTTGGGGGGTAAAAGAGAACGGAAAAAAAAACTACTTGTGCTCGACCACTACAGTGCTTATGTAAACTAAGCGTAACGTTAACCCTTGTGTTTTGGAAAAAAATGACAGTTTTCAAAACAAACCCTTTTAAGCAGATCTCTGACCCAAAGTTTACCAATGACAAACTGGACAATATTGCGAGGCACCCAAAACGTACAGAAACGGAAACCTATTTGACAGTAACTTGCTTTCACTGCTTTCACTATCCAGATCATAAATTCGCTTCTAACACTTGCATCTTTACGTTGCAGTTATTGGTCAGGAAAAACCTCATTTTGTCTTTGAAGTGATCTCGAAGCAATGAATATTGCATTTGTTTTGCTGTCGTTTCTTCTGGCTTCACAAGTAGAATGCCAAGGTTTGTTGTTAAAACCACATTTAATGGTGAAGGTTTAGAGTATTTTTAACCTCTTCTACTAATTTAAACACGTAATTTAATGTTTCAGGAGAAAGCACAACAAAGGCAAAACGACTTGCAGTCGCAGAGGAAACTTTTGACGACAACGAGAGCTTTGAAGAGGTAGTGTGTTCACGTTCCCTTGGGCGCTCATATATCTCTTCCATACATAAAAGTACCTTTGACTATATTCGTTATTTTTCACGTTTTTGCGGCTAATCACACGTCTCTGTTAACACTCACCCAATTCCTCACCCCTACTCAAAGTTGTTCCTTCAAGTTTTGACCATGGTCTCGTATTTCTGGCAGCCTTTACAAAGCGAGGAGGGGTCGGGGCATTAGCAAGTACAAAATAAGGCAAAGTTTCTCAAGTGTTTTTGCAACAGGTTGCATCCCCTCCTAAGGGGGGTCGGCTGGTTATTTAAGATATACCAAGAAACGTACGTTCTGTTAATGTCAACTCCCGTCATTTACTCCCGCTATTTTCCAAAAAGGTTATTTAATATTTCATTAATGATGATCCTGTTTTATTTTGATGCGACTAAACTTCCAACTAGACAGTAGAATCTGACAGCAGCAGTGTTAGTGATGACGATTTCCAGGACGAACTTGAAAGCGGAAACTTCAGCAAGCCAGTTGTGATAAAGGTGATATATTTGTTATATCAAATATCATTTTTTGACCGTTGACGGTGAAATTTTAGACCGTTTGACAGCTGATGGTTAACCCCATTGAGAACCTTTAGTAAGGAAGCCAATCAAATAATTGTAGTGATTGGTGTCACCTAATTTTCAGCTGTACAATGATTTCAATACTTTTTGGCTCCGTTCTTAGGAAAAACCGGGGACAAAGCCAGAGGCAAAGCCAGACTCGGAGGGTGATAACGCTGATGAGAAAAGCGAAGGCGAAGCAGCCAAAACATATGATAAGGGAGACACCGAATTAATAAGAACCGAAGGCAAACCAGGATGGATGGAGAAAGTTTTGAAAAAGGTTTGGAAATATTTTGCCATTCGTAGTAGCTACGAAAACACCCAGTGAGAGAGGTTGCTACATGCCATATGAGATAGACAACCTATGCAATTACATGTGCTCTGAATATTTTCATTTCTAATAGTTCATTGGCTTGTAAAAAAACTAAATGAGACTCAAATGGCTGATCTTATAGCAAATACTTGACAATTCCTCTCTCATTTATGAAATACACAACGCTAACTTTATATTCAACTCAAATTTGTAAAGAATTATTTCACATAGTTAGTAGGAACCTTTGGAAAGAACCAATTGCGCCTACATATCTAATTAATGAAAAGAAAAACTTCTCTTACCACATTTATTAAATTGACATATCCCTTGACATATTTCCCTGATTTTTTTTTTTTTTTTAGGCAAAAGCTATATTGAAAAAAAAGGAAAGTGATTCAATGGACGGAGAAGAACACACGTCGGGAAGCCCGACAGACACACAGTTGGACGAGAGTATGGCTGCACTGTAAAAACTTTCTTATACTTTAAGAGGATCTAGATGGGATTCGAACTGACAACTAACAAATGGCCTAAGATTTAACTGACAACTGACACATGACCCTTTCCCCACCCACCCTCCCCACCCCATCCACACTCTTCTTTAAGGTCTTGATGTCACACTCTATGAGGACGGTCTTGAACATGCCAAATTCCAAGAATTTTATTTGAAATTTTATATCACAATTGCAAAACTCGATGCCACTTATTAGTGGTAGACATATAGTAGACACCTGAGTAGGTGTCCTTAATTATGATTAAACCAGAGTTCGTGATATATATTGGTGACAGTTTATTTTCGTCGAAGTTTCGTTGGTGTTCGCATTATCGGGATGTCGGCGATGCGATAGTCAACTATGAGTATCCGCGAAGTGCTTGTTAAGTGCTTTGTCCCTCTTTTTCTTTTTCGTTCAATGCTCTCTATCACGTGTTTTTCAGGACTGTCTGTTTGTATCCCTCACTCCCATTTTGATCTCTCAAATCACCAAAAGATTCTTACAGTTACTTATCTTAACCATTATGACCACTACAGCTATTTTCTGTTACTGCCCTCTAGTTCCAAGTGGCCCTTTCGAAAAACTGAAAAATGCCTTTGGGACATTAGGATCAAAAGCCACTGGCGCCAAGAAAGGTCTGACTGAGTTAAAGGGAAAATGGAATACGCTTTCGTTCGGAGACAGAGCGACTATGACGCAGACCCTTCAATCCGCTGCCTCAAACATTGACAAGTTTGCTAAAGCAGGAGACGATCCCATAGGTGCAGTACAGGGAGCACTCAATATGGTCGGACAGTTTGCAGCACTTGCTGGTCCCACTGGACAAATTGTTGCCGTAGCTTTGAGCTTCGTCTCTGGGTTTCTGAGTCTTTTTGGAATAGGAGGAAAGAAAAAGAAATCTCTCGGGCAAATCGTAAGAGAAGAAATAGACGAAGCATTGGCTCAGTTTTACGAGCAGGACCTCAGTAATCAGGCTCGAGGTATCGCTCAAACATTCGACGTTTCGAAGGCATACGTGGATAGGCTTGCTCAGTTAGGCAATAAGCTAACCGAAGCCCAAGCAGCGTCACTTGAGAGGAACGTGCCACTGTATCTTGGCCTTAAATTTATGGGAACATTGTCAAGTGAGATAGACCGACTTCTTAGGGCCAATAAGAGAAACGAGGCAAAAAAGACATTGAGATACATCGAGCTGTATGCAAAGATGGCGGTTCTGAAGGACGTGATTATGCAGGAGGTGGCCACTTTGTTGCCAGACGAGCTTGAACCCAACCGACAATCCTTGCTTGCCGCTCATATCGATCTACGCAATCAGCAAAAGAATCTCATTCAATTTCTTCGTGCTGGTCGTTTCGATAAGAGTCATAATAAGATGGCGGTGAATTACTTTGACCCAGATGTGAACCCAGTAACAGATGCCTATATGACCGCTGTGTTGAAAATACCAGATTACGANTATGGTCGGACAGTTTGCAGCACTTGCTGGTCCCACTGGACAAATTGTTGCCGTAGCTTTGAGCTTCGTCTCTGGGTTTCTGAGTCTTTTTGGAATAGGAGGAAAGAAAAAGAAATCTCTCGGGCAAATCGTAAGAGAAGAAATAGACGAAGCATTGGCTCAGTTTTACGAGCAGGACCTCAGTAATCAGGCTCGAGGTATCGCTCAAACATTCGACGTTTCGAAGGCATACGTGGATAGGCTTGCTCAGTTAGGCAATAAGCTAACCGAAGCCCAAGCAGCGTCACTTGAGAGGAACGTGCCACTGTATCTTGGCCTTAAATTTATGGGAACATTGTCAAGTGAGATAGACCGACTTCTTAGGGCCAATAAGAGAAACGAGGCAAAAAAGACATTGAGATACATCGAGCTGTATGCAAAGATGGCGGTTCTGAAGGACGTGATTATGCAGGAGGTGGCCACTTTGTTGCCAGACGAGCTTGAACCCAACCGACAATCCTTGCTTGCCGCTCATATCGATCTACGCAATCAGCAAAAGAATCTCATTCAATTTCTTCGTGCTGGTCGTTTCGATAAGAGTCATAATAAGATGGCGGTGAATTACTTTGACCCAGATGTGAACCCAGTAACAGATGCCTATATGACCGCTGTGTTGAAAATACCAGATTACGATCGTTCCATGGCAGGAATATGGTGTCTAACGCCAGTCATTTATGGTAAAAGGGAGTTGCCGATCACTTGGCTTAGAAGTCATGGCAGGTTAATGGTGGAAAATCATCCTTACATCAGTCCCTATAATGAAGGCTGCTTTTGGAAACTCATCCCCCATGGTAACCACCTCTATACAGTTGTCAACACCTACGGAGGTCGTAAGCACGACCACTATGGTCAGTACCTGTCGTTTGACACATTATCCAGGGGCAGAAGCAGGCTGACAGTTGAGGGCGACGCAGATCTTTGGGAAATCTACGGCAATCATCAAAAGAGGTAACTAAGTCCGGGAAATTTTCACAAGCATCTCTCTCTCCCGTCCTCACAAACACAAATATAAATCAGTTACAATCACGCCGCTTTTTTTTATTCACCTATATTTAGATCACATTCGGTGATCTTCTTCAGGGTGACTTACTTGCTGTTAACGTATCTGAAACGTACATCACTTTTTAAATTGCTAAATTTCCAAGGCAAGGCACGAGTAACACAACTAAAATGACTGCTATTTTAAACAGCTTAACGAAAATGTTGCGTCATCCCTTGCGCACGCCCACACCGGTCTTTCTGTTCTGGCCATAAAAACCATCATCTTCACGAAGTCCCGAGGCCTGGCGAGCGTTCTTAATTTATACATCCGTTGTCCTTTCTTATTCCTCAACTCTTTCTCTCCTATGGCCCTGTCTATCAACTATATACTCACATGTTCTAGAAAGTGTTAGTATAGACACAGGGACCTTTTTAGGGCCCTAATATAATATTGGCTGACTTTTTTTTATAGACTTAGATAATATCTTTACAGGATCCGCAGTAAATGGGGCTGTGACTCGTCGGGTAACAAGTGGTGCAACAGACAGATACAACCTCAGATAGAGTCAAGTGGAGGGTGGAGTCCGAAGAGAGTAACCACCTTTGGTTTGACTTCAAGTAACGTTGGTTATATTTGGTGGATTACAAAGGTACGTGTAAACAAAGTCGAAGGTCGATCTCAATAAATAAATAAATAAATAAATAAATAAATAAGTACTTAAATAAATATAAAAATAAGACACAAGTGGGGTAAATGAAGACGTCATTTCCATAGAATTGTGAAAACAAAATATATTAAATAATCCACATCCGCTTTCTGCGGTGCGAAAAAGTTCTTATATAAAACTAAAAAGATATATTAACTAAAAAGGTATAAAACTCCAGATTTATGGCTTATTTTGTTGAGTCTGACAGGAATTCGGGGAAAGCTTTCACCTTAATTATAATTTAATTGTATGACAACTATCATTTTTCATCAGCAATTGCACAGCTCGGAGCATGTTTTCTTTTAATAATCTTTATTCACACAGGGCTAAGGAAGTTATAGTGCGTGCTAACTTAGTTGTCCGGCATAAGGGAGGTGGGACATTTTTTTCCGATAACACATTTCTCGACCCACTTGGTGTGTGACGATGTCCTTGTCAAGTCACATAGTCACATAAGATCTTACGGTTAAGCGATTAGGGAAGATTAGCGGGATCCCTTTAGCTTTCTTGGAATCTGCCCATCTACCCCTCCCCTGAGCAAACATTTTGCTCTAAACGAGAACTAAGGAGGAAAAGAGGGAGGAGAAAAGCATGCAAGGCCAATAATACCAATGGGGATCAGTCAAGATACCTTCTATGATAAACAAGTTTTATTTGTGATTTTCTTATAATCTAGCATAGAAATAGTTCTAGGATTGCGGTTCCTGGATGGCTTCTACAATATTTACTTAGTCCTATTAATGTTTATTGTCATTATCATAACAATTATCATCATCATTATCATTATCATAAGCAGGTCGAATAACATACATGCACGAATCAAAAGCTTTCTTACTAGGTAACTTGCTTAAGCAAGTGTCTTAAAGGAAATTACTTGGAACTTTGTCGTCAGTTTTGCGGTTAAACGCACCTGACAAACGACTTATGGACGAACTCAACAAAACTGACAACAAAACTTTGGCTCTGAAAATGAAACAGTACAGAACCGGGCTGGGGTGAGGGGTGGATTCTTTGGGTGGGCCGGGTGTGACGCTTGGAGTCGAGAAACTTTAGCCCATAGCGCAAATCTAGTTCTTAAGTTGCCACCCCATACTTAACACTGAACCTGCGCTTTTTTCAAGAAACTATTACGAGGGTGACTATTTTTGTTGCTGTGATACGCTGAGTTGAGAGTAGATTCAAATTTGTCAATTATAGTCAACCAAATTGATCCGAATTAAACTTTCTGAAAACCATACCCTTAACAGCAATGGATACATATGTAGGCCGTGTACGGCAGTTTCCCCTTTCCCCTGCCCCCTCCCCCCCTTCCCCGGACTAGGTAAGTCACACGTCGGTCAGTGGTTACACTCATCTGGCCGATTAAATCCCACTTTGTATGTATTATTAACGCAGAGGTAATTATTGACCCTGAGCGAGTAATCGTAGATTTTGAAAAATTATCTGACTTTGAATTTTACCGAATTGACCATCTTTACGTGCATCAAAGAGAGTTTAGATAAAGTAATGTTTCTAATTATTTATTCTTAGAAACCCAGGGTCTAGAGAAAGTCCCATTAGAGACAAGGAAAGCCTGGATCTTCAAAACATATGATGAGCAACTTAAAGAACTTAAGATAAATTGGAGCATGTAGTAAACAGAATAGAAATAAAAGGCATTGAAAATACCATAATTATGTCTCTAACCTCTGTTGTTGGCTTATCAACGTGTCACTTGTAAGCGAATTAAACTCATCCACAATGGCGTAGCTACCTGTACGCACGGTACGCACGTGCGTACCTGAAAACGTCGAGGGTAAAAACATAAAATACAGTACAATAAAAAATAAAAATCATAATAATAAAGAAAAGCAAATATATAAAAGATAATGATTAAAAAAGCACAGTTTTCCTCTATTCACTTAACTCTGCTTATTTCAACCCCAAACGTTGAAATAATAACGCGCAGAAAACAAGCTGGGATGGTATAAATGGAGAAATCGTTGTTTTCACTTCGGCCTGTCTTCGCAGTGGACTAAATCAGGAGCCGATCGGCTCCTGACTAAATCGGGCAAAAATTAGGCAAACGTCAAATAGAACATGGTCAACAAAAGCTAATAATGAGCGATTGAGGTTCTTCAGTTGATGAACCAAAAAAAGCGCAAGAATTGTACAACTTACTGCAATTCATATACAGTAAAAAACGCTTAGGCCTACAACCCAGCGTCACCTTTAATGAAAGAAGCAGAAAAAAATTGGGGTCTCAAAAGGGTTGGGAGGAAAGGAATTTGGAAATTTGAACGTACCCGGCCTGGAAAACTCCTGGCTATGCCCCTGATCCATTTTAAATTTGCGCGCTTTTCACTCTAAACAGGGTGCAAATTGTCTGAGAGTAGCCGTTTTGCATTTTGGAAGGGGATAGAAAACCGGCGACGCAGCCCTAGTCCAGTTTTGACATCACTAACCGCTTGCGAGGTTGGGCAATTTCCTGAGAACCGCCAATGCTGCATAACAGGCCAAAAGAAATGTAGTCACGTGGTCAGCCCATGTTAGATGATATGTTTGTCCCTGTGGACCCACAGTATCTTAGCTGTGGTGACACATTCTAATAGCTACCCATTGCAGCTCACAGCTGGATAATAAATACATTACATTTGATAAATCAGCTGAATACATGGGTTAAATCTCAGGTGTTCCAAACTCTGATATGTGAAAACAACAATCAGCAAAACTGGCAACACTGCAGTCAACATAACAATTTACGGGTTCATATGGGAACTCGAGGGAAAAATCGCCTTTTCGGACCTTATACTGCGAAGAAAAGAAATGAACTGCACTTACCAATCAGCGTATTGTGTCTTCCCGCCAGTGTCGTTTTGGAACGGTTTAAGATGGTTTTGCGATCATGTGTTGACCTTATTAGATTAATGCTGATTTCATTTTAATGAATTGAAAGACAAGAAATGATAGCAAAACCAGCCAAATCTTTTCAAAACGACACTAGAACAAATGTATTTCAATTCATTTCTTCTCAGTAAGCTGGGATACGGCGAATAATAAAAAATACTAAAACTGTTTCCACATTAACCGTAAATCCTGCATATTAAGAGCTTTACCGGTCTCCAGCTAAATACCGCGTCACGCAAATACCTGGAAATATTCAAGCGTCCTCTATCACAAAACGAAGAAGCCTTTCGAACCGAAACTTTGTCCCGGGAACTTTGTATAAATTGATTATGACCATTATAGACGTAGCCCGTGATCAGGCTCCACAGTGGAAAAAGGAAAATAACGGGGTCGGCTCGCTTCGTCATGAAATCAGTTTTCTTGACATGTTTAATTCGCGATTTTTTTTGTATCGAGAAATTCGCGAAATCAACGTGTCAAGAAAATTTCATTTCCTTTCCCGGGATAATGGTCTTACTGGTTAGAGTTGACATTCATAATTTTATTGTTGAAGATGTTCTCGGATGTCTCTCGGTTGTAACACGACTATAACGTCTGGAAATGATAAATTCTTTTATGGCTGGTCTGATGCAGTGACTGAACGAACACAAACATTTAATTTCATGCCAATTTTTGCTCGGAATTTCAGCATTATTGGTGGTTTTTTAAATTTTAAGATTTTGATTTTTGCCTCAAAAGTTAAATCATATCCGGAGTACCCCCTCCTGGGCCCATGTGATTGCTATTGTTCAGTCAGGAACACGCGTGTTGCATCAGATCTCTGATGACAAATCGGTATTGTGAAATAAGTAAAGACTTTCCCGCCTGGACGGAAGGTTATTTTGTCTACAGCATCCTCGTTGACGGTTAAACGCAATTTTACATCTCAGAAGAATGGCTAAAAAGGACAAAATTGGAAGATCCATTCTTGCTTCTTTTATAGCTGCTCTTGGATCGATAAGCTTTGGTTATTGTATGGGATATTCCTCATCTGCGTTGGTGGATTTGACAAGTCCCGACACAAATTCTGCCATTCGTTTGACCACTGCACAGGGATCCTGGTTTTCCGTGAGTAAATTGTAGTTTTAATTGTTTTCAGTGTGCAAATGAGTAATACGAAAAAAACAAAGTTGTTAATCTGGAAAAAAAAAATCGTAAGTAAGACATAGAATAAGACTTGGGATCTACAAGCTGTCGCGTGATTTGCTGTTCCTTTGAGTTCTTTGCGTTGCATGATCTGGGATAGCGTTCAAATGTTTACCTTTCATAATCTTTGGAATTCCGGTTGCCGACTTAAGCCCGGTTCAAACGTCGAAATTTACATGTGCAGAACCTAATTATTAGGAACGACACTTTTGTATTTGGGTATACGTAGACTCAGCTGTCTATTCTGGACTGAGGTCGTCGAATAGAACGGCAAAAGATCGACTTCGACTCATACGTCGAACTTAACATGTGCCTCTTCCCTGCTACAAGAGGTCTGACTCTCAAGACGCATGTAATTCATAAATTATGTTAACGTATTTTTCAACATAACCGCGCTTCTGATTAGTTATATAGTGGGTTTTCGCGCCTGTGCGGACTGAACTCACAGAAGATCAGAGTAACGACGTTACTGACGTTACCAGCATTCACGTTGTAGATTTGAGACTGAAACTGGACAGCTTAAAACGGTCTTCTAAAAAGTTGCTTTTCTTTGATCTTTGTATCTATAAACAAATCGTACTGTATTTTGAAATTTATGGCGTTATTTTATTTTGTCCAATTGTCACTATGCTCACGATCTCCTTGCCACAACATAACACAAATCATACTAAAATCAAAACAAGAATTTTCAGGCTTTGTGAACTTTACTTTTTTCAGTTTATTTCCCTATTTTAGCAGTAAGGATGATATTTGTTTTCGCCACGAATTAGGTTCGGCACATGTAAATTTCCACTGTTTAAACCCGCAGTCGAGCTTTTATAGTTTGGGTCGACCTAAATAGGTATTAGGATCCATTAAGTTCGGCACTTGTAAAATTCTACGTTTGAACTGGGCCTAATTGTCACCAAAGTGGAGAATTTTTTTTTGGATTCAGTGCTCCATGGGGACCATGGGGATAAGTTTAATCAGACAGAGCCGCGTTCTTTCTTTACTGATCAAGAGCGAATTAAGTATCGAGCGCATTCAGCACAGAATCTCTAATACCGAATCTTCAACATGTTCAATCACAGGTAGCCCAAGCTCGAAATATGAGCATCGGCGAACTTCGGCATCGTTGCGTAACATTCGAAATATAAGGATTTGTATGGGGAAAAAACCTATCGTTTCTGTAACCTACGAAAATGAAAGAACTTCGATAAAAATCAGCTTACCTTACTAAAAATGTGTGTTACGTCTCTCCTGTGTGGTCCACGGGCCGATTTATGGCCGTTTTATGGGTTTTTATGTAAACGGTTTTCTCGAACCTTTATATAGAGAGAAAGCCGTTTACATAAAAACCCATAAAACGGCCATAAATCGACCCGTGGACCACACAGGTAAGCTTTCTTTTATTGAAATTCTTTCATTTTCGTAGGGTTACAGAAACGATAGGTTTCTTCCCATACAAATCCTTATATTTCGAATGTTACGCAACGATGCCGATGTTCGCCGATGCTCATATTTCGAGCTTGGGCGACCTGTGGTTCAATGCTTTGAATATAACCGGGGTGAAATATTAGCATGTGGAAAAAGGTTTTTATTCCCCTAACGAACTGAACCTGACTGAACACAACACAACTTTGTAGGGCGTGTGCCAGGGTATAAAAATAGATTTTTTCTTCATCGTTCCACGGCTCTTGCACGGAAGTGATATGAAGATGATTACACGCACCATTAAAGGGCACCCAACGGCTGTTTCTTTAAAAAAACAAACCCAAACAAACCCCTTTTTCTCTCCTTTTTTGCAGTCTTTGGTGGCAGTCGGTGCCATTTTTGGATGTCCCATAGGTGGATGGGCGATTGATAAGTTTGGTCGCAAGAGGACCTTACTCCTCTGTTCTGTTCCCTTTGAACTTGGATGGCTTCTGATCAGCTTTGCGCAGAATCGGGCTATGTTGTACGCTGGTCGCATCACTACAGGCTTGGCTTGTGGCATTGTTTCACTTGCTACTCCAGTAAGCTTTTTTTCTTCTTCTTCTTCTTTTTTTAATACCGTAAAATTCCGAAAATAAGCCCCTCCAAATATAAGCTCCCCAAATCGGTAACGCAAAAAACCCTCCGTTAAATCGCCCCTCCAAACATAAGCCCCCCGGGGGCTTGGAAAAATTTCCCTCAAATACAAAGTAAAACAAAGCAAAAACGGTGAATTTACTTCCAACTATGAGGCTAGCCCAATCGACTTCAAAATGCAAATTTCCTTCCGTAGATAAGCCCCTCCGAATATAAGCCCCTCCAAAAATAAGCCCCTCAAAAAGGGCCTTTGAAACATATAAGCCCAGGGGTTTATTTTCGGAATTTTACGGTCAGTGATTGAAAGTGGAAAATAGAGGATTCGAGAGTGGGCCGGAAAAGTGGGAGACCTAAATTTTTTTAACCCCCTAGGATCATAACCTGGGAATGTTCCAGTTTAAAAAAAAATGCTGAAAATTTCTAAAAAGTTGCTCAATATTTGCCCAAAACACCAATATATTCACGTTGCTTTTCATTTTTTTCTTAAGAAAAATTTTTTTTATTAAAGAACCCTTCTTCACTGTTTCTTGACTCCTGATCTTAACCTTTGGACACCCCCAGCCCACCCCTCCTGTATCTCGCCTGCTCAAATGAGTTTAAGACACATTACGACCGGATTTCTATTCTGAGTGAATAGGGAAGCATTGCTTATAAGCTTGCAGCCTAGGATAGTTCCTCTGTGGCCTTAATTACGAACCCTGACCAGTGTGTTTGAGACTAATCATTCTTCTCATTTTGCTATCCCGTTCAAGAGGACAGCATTTCCCTCTTTCAATTGAATGTATCGTTTTATTTTCAAACATGCACAAAAAACGTAGCCTTTTGGGCAGACTTCGAAATATTGTCGCTCACTTGTTAAGCGTGATATCCGACTTTCTTAAAGAAAAAAAAAAAAGAATTCCATGCCCGTTCAGGCCACTGGGACCAGCCCTCCACCCAGGGGCTCTTAACTGTGAAATTCTGTTTCTGTAAAGGTATACATCGCCGAGATTGCACACCCAAGAAAACGTGGCATGCTGGGTTCTATTGGCACACTGGCGATTGTTATCGGCTTTGTAATATCCTATCTGGCAGGTATCCTATGCCAATGGAACTTACTGGCTTTTATCGGCGGAGTTTTCCCGGCCCTCCTCGTTATATTTTTGTACTTTATGCCAGAGACCCCGTTATGGTTACTAAGGAAGAAAAAACGAACAGAAGCATTGGAGTCTCTCGTTTGGTTACGAGGCACTGACGGCGATACTGAAGAGGAATGCTTCAACGTTGAGTCAACTATTGGTACGAGGGCCTTTTTTTTTTTCACAAGTATGGATACATACTGACATACAAGCGATTTCTTGCTCCCAGTACCTAAGATTAGTTTAGAGAGAACCAGTCCAATTTAATTTAATTTTAAGATGCTCCTTCCAGAAGGTTCAATCCAGCATTTTTTACTTCTCTTTTTAGCGTTAAACGTATTCTGCGTATTTGCATCCATTTACCATCGTTTTGGTAGGGTGCATTTAATAAGCGATATGGTTCTCAGAATTTTATAGTGATCGAGTTGTTCACACTTTTGATCATAGTTGCATCAATTTCGATAAAAGCCGTGTCTGTCTCCTTCAGATTGGCGCCAAATAAGGCCGAGCGTGCTTTTTAGGTGATGGATTTCCACTGTCGCGTTATTTCAGTACGTGTGTACACACGTTTATACTACTACTTGAGAAATTTGTGCTATTTGATTGGCTTAGAATGGTGGTATATATTTCAGCTGAATTTGAAATACCTACGTGTAAAAATTACAAACCTTTTGCGGGGAGTAGTATAAACAAATAATAGCACGATCTGTACGTGATATTTGGCATAAATACCACTCGTGATATTTCAAAATTGTCTCAAATTTACGTATAACAATTTCGAAATATCACTCGTTGTATTTATGCCAAATATCACTACAAATCATGCTATTACCGATACAAATTTAATGCGCGTAAATATAATAGAAGGTCGCTCGTAAAAGCAAGAGTTGAGCGATCGAGGTTCAACTTTTACGTGTTTACTTAACGCGCACTTATGTAATTCCTCAAGTCATGCCACATGTCATTGCGCAAAATCATTCTCTCTTTTTACCTTCACCGATCATCTGATTTTGGCAGAGACTAACAGATTTAATTGCAAATATTGAGTATATTAATAGAATATCTGGGGATACGGGTGACCTGGCTTGAATGTAATAAATCACAACAAAATTTATCACGAACAGCAAAGGGACAGAAATTAGAGATTATTTATAAAGCACTGACTTTTTGGGGGAGGGAGTGGTAGAAAATCTTCGCGTTTTGTTCATCGCTTTTTTCAGCATTCCTTTTTCCTCTTTTCTTTTCTTTTTGGCGCTGCATTAATTGAAAGGATGATCAAACGATATAACGAGAAGCCGGAAAATTAAGACCACACAAAAAATATCCCTTTTTGAAATCAAGAGTAAAATGCATGCACGCACTAAATGAAGTAAAATGCATGCATTAAACTCATGTTTTCTGATTTTATAGTATATTTTCTATTTGCAGATCATGAAAAAAAGCTTTCGCTGCAAGATTGGTTATCACCTGTGATAGCAAAGCCTTTAATGATCAGCATTGGATTAATGATTTTTCAACAGCTATCTGGAGTCGCTGCTGTGGTATTTAATACAGCAAGCATTTTTACAGTCGCAGGCTTTTCAGACGGCAAACTTGTTAGCATTTCAGTTGCATTGGTCCAGCTTTTAGGTTGCACTTTGGCATGTGTAGTGGTTGACAAAACGGGACGACGGATCCTTTTGTTAACAATGTCAATTGCTATGTCCTGTACTCTTTTTGGCCTTGGTACATATTTTGAAATCTATATACCACCAACGGGTGCAAACTCATCTTCTGACGTAACCTCCCTGTTGGGTCCCATCAGCCATTCAGTTCCAGCTTCAAAGATAAACTGGCTTTCTGTGGTCTGTATAGTTTTGTTCAACTTGTTTTTTGCTTTGGCTTGGGCTCCAGTACCTTGGCTTATCATGTCAGAGATATTTCCCACACAAGCTCGAGGACTGTGCACTAGTCTGGCAACCATTGCGAACTGGATGGCACTATTTATTGTTACCAAGACGTATAACATCATGCAGACGTCAATGACCATCCAGGGAACGTATTGGTTCTTTGGAGGATGCTCCATTCTTGGTTTTGTCTTTGTTTATATGGCTATGCCGGAAACTAAAGGAAAAACCCTAAAAGAAATCGAGGCTATTTTTAGTAAAAGGGTAAATGACCTACCACAGTAATGCGTTTTCAAATGAAAACTCTTATGTTTTGCTCTGTTTTCGCTTATCGAGTTTATACTAAAACCTTCCGTAGTAAAACGCTGATGAAAACGAAGCCGGCTTAAGAAAACGGTTTTAATTAAAAACTGGAGTCTAAGAAAAACGAATTGTTTAAAAAACACTCGAGTTGCATGGAGGATAGATGTAAAAGGAGACTTTCGAAAGCGATGATGTCAAAAGCCTGCATGGGAGAATTTTGAAACCTGTTGTTTACAACGTTGGGTGTAAACCATGGCAAAAAAGCTGGTGCCTGGTGTGTTCAGAAATCATGTCTTTGCTTCGTTTTTACTAAGATGAAAACGGATCATTTTGAAAATGCAGTCATAGTAAGGTCGGCGCCTATTTGATCTGTGTAGCCATCCGTTCAGTGATCAGAAGAGTTGAAGGGGTTAGGGGGGGAAGGGCTGAGGGCGTGTAGTGAAGGAGTACTCCCAAGAATTTTCCTGGAAAATTTTGATACTCAGGCCTTGAAATTGAATGCCAATTCTTGCTTTCTCTGCAGAAATTTTCAATAAAAAGATGCAAAGTAAAATGTATTAGTTAGCTATTTAAGTTACCTTAGGCTACGCTCAGACGGCACCGGTTGAAAATTCGTGCGTTTAGTTGTTGCGTTTACACTAAACTACCTTAACCGTACAAAAATATAGACTCACCGCCGTTCAAAATTCCGAGTAAACAGAACCAAAAAATCCTACAAATATTGAAGAGTCCTATGTGAGCCAAGAGTCCGGGTGAATGTAGTTCTAGCCGGCGAACAAGGTTTTTCCTAGGCTAATTTACCTATATTTCTAGTGTTCTCTGTAAGCTACGGCCTATGCGGTACACGAGCATGTGGTTTAAGCCCATTGAGGACCTGGTCACAGGTATAGGGCGAAGCCTCTACCATTCAGATGGGCAACCTTTATTTAATGCGCAAGTTTTAGCATGTGGCATGCTGTGCGCTGTAGGACGAAACTACGAATTTCGTGCCCTTATTCCATGTAACCTTAATCACGTAATACAGGAGATGGGCTCCTGCGTAATACCATTCGTTTTGTAACAAAAAATGACCACGCACGCGACGGAAGGGGCGAGACGGGAGAGGTCTTCTGGAGCTGCTGCCCTTGTTTCTCGCGTCTGGCGGCTTCACCGCCCCACGCTCGCGCGCGCGTGCACTCCCCTAAAAAGAGAGGATGCTCGTAGTCTAGTTTTTTAACGGAAATTAAAAATGTTTGCTTAAAATAAAATTAAAGAAGAGCTTGAATGAATATGCTAAAATGATTTTTCCCATCACTTATAGAATATGTGACTGACACGTTTTCGGCCGTCAAAGCCGACATTAAAATGAGGATTGGACCTCTATTCTTTTGACTTGAAATGACCGTGAGGTTACTTGAGCAACGCTTGCTTTGGTGAGAGTTTTAACCCACGAGCTGTCGCCGGTTCACGTACACTGAATTTGAAGAAACCGTAGGATGTATCTGTCATGAAGCTAACAATGTCAGTACAACAACCAAAATACTGTTTCCATGAAAAGCCTTAAATGACAAAAAACAAAAGAAAAAGTAGGCATAGCAAAAGCCATAGAGATGGAATCGTCACCTACTCATTCGATACGCATGGCTTTCGGTAAGAACGGAAGATAATAATATAGGCTCCGCTGACATCGACCTGACAGCAGGTCACAACTTGCTGCTGTATTTTCTGCTGTTCATCTGATTTATTTAAAGCTGCCTTTTTCCCCTGTACTGGTAACCAAAGCCAAAGTTGCACGATCAAGCCTTGAGTTAAACATTTGACTTTTTCAGAGTCACCAATTCACTATACTCTAGCCATCTTTATAGCAGTGACGTGGTCTGTGAGCATTTCTGAGTCTAAGGTATGAACATGCACTCAATTAAATGAAACTACTTTTGCACTACCTAAGCATACTGCTACTCTATCTTTATATATATATATATATGACCTTTTAAATTCTTTTTTTTTTTTTTTTTTTGACTTGGATGTCTCGCCCTTTTAAGGGTAAAAACGGTTTAGCAGATGTTTAAACTTGAAAACGTCATGAAAGCAGGTGAATGCAAACATCAAACTTATTTCTATTCAATGACTAATCACTTTGCAATAGAGATCATAAAATACATGAAGCGTTATTATATTATTTACACTCAAACCTTATTACAGCGCTGATTGATTATGAGTTGATATGATGAAAAAGAAGGTGACTAAAACGTCAAAACTGAAAATGACAAATTTCACAGAAACAAACTTATCTGTCTCAAATGCTGACTTCTGCTTACTTATAGTGGAAAAATATACCTCATTATTGTAGGCATCTCCTTAAAAAAGTGAAGTTAGTACGAAATCATCGAAACGCGGTATTTTGCCAAGAAAAGAACAGCGGCCATTGTATGTTCGAACTTCTCTGTTAAAGGTAAGTGCATCTCTACTAGAGACCTCCCTTCAGTGTGAAGGAAAGGTCGATACGATTCACCAGGGCAGGCAATAAAATGCTATCGCCTCAGTGTCACCTATATCGACCGATGTCAGTGTACTAACGATTCACCAGCCCTTGTACTACACCATGAGTAGGAAATAATTATAAGGTTTAAGAGATCGCTGACTTTCTTTCAGAAAATTCAATTATTTAATCAAACCTCCCAATAGATCTGTTTTCTCATCGGGATGCCTTGCACCATCCCACCAAATGAAGCATTGGGGAGTATTCATGAGAGAAGAAGTTTATTTCTAGTTCTATAAAAAGGAAATTCTCAACTGGTATTATTTACATGCATAAAATCTTGTTCAGGAACCACTATATTAAATTTATTACACGAAACTACCTTAATCTTATATATCTGCCTAAACGAAGAGAGTTTTATTAATGCGATTTTTGACAGGTAATATTTTAAGATAATCCGTTTAATACCTCTGACTAAAATATCTTCAGTACTACAATATGAAACATTAACAGGGGCACCCAACGACCGAATGTTTCCAAATACGCCATAAGTGTCTCAAATGGTTTTCTCTATGCTTTAGAAGCCTGTTTGGTGAATTAATTTTTGCCCTAAAAACTATTTATCTGTGGGGAACTTTGGTCGTCACGAAAGTTTTAGGTGGCTTATTTTTCGTCTCATCCGAAAGTGCTAGCTACCCTTATGGGTTCGGTGGAAAGTTCGAGGACATGAAGTAGCGTTGCTTTCATTAGAAAATTATAGGGGACGTTTTGTCTTTAGCCCCTTTTTAACAAAAATCGCAATATCATCGTATTAAAATGTGAATAACACAACCTCCGAAAATCGTACTAAAATACTATTAGAAAAGTCCGAATATCTAAGACGAATGAAACGTTTATCCAGAAATTTTTAGCTTCTCTCAAGCTTTAGAAATTTCTATTTAGGCAATATTTGCTTCTCCGAACAGTTATTTTACAGTCGCTGGGTGCCCCTGCATTAACTCACAAAAGTGACCGATATCTAACGACAACAGTGTAAATTACAAACAAGAACCCTACTGACAATAATATCCGAGGGATCGGAATAATTGAGGAAGGCAATAAATATAGGCGAAACAAACTTAAGGCATTTCTGCCTATATGACTTCGACGTCCAAACCTAACAGTTTTGTCATGTTCGCTGGTTTTTCTCTTTTCGACCAAAAACCTGACCGGTTTCCTTAAAACGGTGACTCAGAAACCGTTGGGACTTCGTAAGTCGAATATTAATCACTGCTTTCAGATTTGCGCATTTTAAGACAATATTTCACACTGGCCGTCAGCCCTCACAATTCAGTTGCGGTGTTTCTTTTAAAAGCTTACCTGAGGCAAGTCCTTATGAGGGAAAAAAAACACGTTCTCATTGTTTTAAGGGTTTATCAGGCAGCTTTGTAAAGTGAAGTGAAGTGCTCGTTTTTGATTAAATTATTTGCACTTTTCTATTTTCATGTTGGAAAGGTTCAGGGATATCCAAACTGAAAGCAAATTCAAATGTTTTTATGTTGACTTAAGAATAAGTTTTTTTCTGTGCGCGTCTTATATCAATACTCAAAAGTAACCTCGACGAAAACGCCACAAAGATAACGATATTTAGAAACTGTTGTGACGTTCAGTTACGGGTAAGCCTTCCATTCAATGCAAAATTTCGCACCTGTTTTCGCAGTCTTCGCGAATAAATTTTAAGCGTTTATTTAAATTGCTTAGTCGACGTCACTGCTTTAACGTCGAATAATCTATAGGGTAAATGTTTCGAATGCGACGGTATTCTGCAGCAACAATAAATTGTTAGATAAACTAAAGAGTTAAAGGAGGAAGACTTGCTAGTTTTTGGCCAAAAGCACAAAAATGGTAATCTAGCAACGATAAAAAGTGTTTTATGGAAAGCGACAAATTGTTTAGGTTTACAACTGGACATCAGGCCTGGGATTATTCAAATGTGTGCAACTATACTGTTATTATATTTTGTTCCAAATCCTACCTATAATTTCACTTTCAGAAGCGCTGATTGGTCGGCAGAGTAGTTACATTGTTTTAGTTATTGTTTACGAATAACTGACAAATAAAAAAAAAGGCCACAAAGGTCAAATCTAAACGCAAAGAATTTCCAACAAAAGTTGGCAGATGAACGCAACACTTTTCCAAAATCGACCAGAAGACACGTAAAATTGGACAAATTTATATTTGGAACCCCATGACTACCGGATTTATTATGTAAACATTGATTTGCGTCATCAGTATCGAATTTCTGTCTCTGAGTCGCAGACGTTCCTCCTCGCGAAACGTCTCCAGCGGCGAAGAGCGAGGAGAAACGGATGTTTTCGCAGGCAAGGGGGTCGTTACTTTAGGAACTTTACGGTATTCATCTCGGATTTCATCTTAAAGTGCTGTACTTTTTTGCTAATAAAATAGCCATAGGCATTTCTTAAAATCATTAATCACACTATTTTTAGCGCAATTACTATTTTCTGTATTGGTGAATACAGCCGGT